AACTCCTATGATTCCATAGTTATTAATCACAACAGTTAAAGTAGTGTCAAACTGCATTAATTCTAAAGTGTAGACGTACCCTAACTGCCGTGGCTTATTTCTATTGAATCCTGGAGTTGCAGGTTGGGGAGGTATTGGCACTCTTTGGCACAGAAGGCGAAAGACCTAGTAAAATTACAACTCCCATTGTTCTGCGGGAGAGGCAGAAACTGGTTGTAATTGGGTTTGTATTGTTTTATTGGTTTTATCGGTTTTAGGGTTGTAATGCAGGAATTGTTGTTTAACTGTTCAACTGTTTAACTGTTTAATGTATTGTCGAAGGCTTTCATGGCCGGAATCACTGGGTTGTTGTAGGTTTTTCCGGGCTATATGGCCATGTTCTGGAGGCAATTTTTCTCCTGACGTTTCGCCTGCATCTATGGCAAGCATCCTCAGAGGTAGTGAGGTCTGTTGGAAGTAGGAAAATGGGTTTATATATCTGTGGTATGAACAGACCGTGCAAAAAGAATCTGCGAACCCCACCTTCTCCAAGATGAACTGAACCACCTAAACTGGGCTCTCCAGGCCAATGGATACTCCACCTCAGACATCAGAAGAGCTGCAAGACCAAGAACAAGCCACGAGAGTAAAGATGAAGATCCACCCAGAGGAAAAGTGTTCTTGCCGACATCAAGGGAACCACTGACTGCATAGGAAAACTGATGCGGAAACACAACATACAAACCATTACAGACCCACCAAGAAAATCCAACAAATGCTACGTTCAGCAAAGGACAAGAGGGATCCTCTCACTTCTGCAGGAGTCTACCGTGTACCATGCAGCTGTGGACAAGTCTACATAGGGACCACCAAACGCAGCGCATTGCCCAGACACGCATCAAGGAACATGAAAGGCACTGCAGACTACTTCAACCAGAGAAATCAGCCATAGCAGAGCACCTGATGAACCAACCTGGACACAGCATATTATTTGAGAACACAGAAGTGCTGGACCACTCTCACAACCACCATGTCAGACTACACAGAGAAGCCATTGAAATCCACAAGCATGTGGACAATTTCAACAGAAAGGAAGAAACCATGAAAATGAACAAAATCTGGCTACCAGTATTAAAAAACTCAAAAATTACAACAGCAAAACAACAGAGGGGAAACAAACAGGCACATAAAATCACTCTCAACAAAAGATTCCCCCCAGGCACTTCCAAGCCATTGAATGCTAATCAAGGTGATCAGCTGAAACATTCACATCTAGCCCCAGCAGACAAAAGTCCTTTGTCTCACCCTGGTCATTCCACAGATATATAAACCCATTTTTCCTACTTCCAACAGACCTCACTACCTCTGAGGATGCTTGCCATAGATGCAGGCGAAACGTCAGGAGAAAAATTGCCTCCAGAACATGGCCATATAGCCCGGAAAAACCTACAACAACCCTGTTTAACTGTTTAATTGATGTTATTTTGTTTTACTACTGTTATGTGATGCTGGCATCGAATTGTGCCTTTGTAAGCCGCCCTGAGTCCCCTCCGGGGTGAGAAGGGCGGCGTAGAAGAAACCGAAATAATAATAATAATAATAAATATTATTCCTTACCTAAGAAAACCCTATGAAATTAATGGGGTCACTATAAGACATCTTGAAGGAACACTAGAGATGGGAGAAGGCTCTCATCAGGAAGGAAAGGCTCGTATGAAATCATCAAATTTGTAGTTTCATTAAATGTTTAAGGTTCTCTGCCAGAGTGATCCTATAGCTCATTAAAAAATAAATCCTGGGATCCTGCAGGATGCAGTTTTGGCAGTTATATCAAAGTGATGTAACTTGGTAATGAGAAAGAGTCCTTAGCTGAAAATGTGGATATGGATGTCCTGCTTGGGATATCAATCCTTTCCTAATTTTCTGAAATAATTACAGTGGGCCCTCCAGATCTGTGAATTCCATTGACCATGGAACATCATTCCCCATGTCATTGAATGACAGTGATGTGTGGAGACACAGAATTGTGTGCATTCACATGGCTGATATTTAATAATATGAGTTGCAATTATCCATGTTTTTTCATATCTCTGTGGGCTTCCAGAACTCAAACCTCATGGCAGTCTCACTGTATTTGCTTATGGAAGGGAGACAACAGCAGGAAGCCGAAGAATGTGCCAAAGCACTAATTATGCCTCATTTTTTGCTCTCCTTGATGAACAGAGCGCAAGGTGGAGATCACCAAACACCTGCAGGACGTGGAGATCGAGGAGGAGAGCTGTGCGGCCTTCTCCTGTGAACTGTCTGAAGACACTGAAGATGTGGAATGGTTCCTCAACGACACACATCTCTTTCCCAACAACTTCAATGAGATCAAGAGCCTTGGCAAGATTCACAGCCTGACGCTAAAACACGTCATGCCAGAAGACTCGGGGACAGTGACCGTCAAGGTGCATAAGAAGGTCTCCGAGAGCGCACGGCTGAAGGTGAAAGGTGAGAAGTTGTCACCTTTGTCTGTTTCTATTTTTCTGTATTGCTTTTCAAAATGCTCTACTTGTGTTACCAAATGAAGCCCAGGAACCCTCACCCTGATGCCTTGGAAGAATTATTGGAAATAAATCAATCTTTGGGTGAGAAACCACAGGTGTTGGGGTCACATATAGTCCACCTTCATTGTGGGGATTCCAAGATGACCATGTCTCCTTCCTTAGGATTGTTTGGTCTTTCCTCAACTTTTGTATATTCTTTTTTTCCTTTCTGAAAGGTTAATATTTTTCTCTTAAGGCTTTACTGACAATAAGAGCTTAAACCTAAAATATGCATGTATTTATTTGGTTGGAGTTACACTGAAAGCACGCATCTGTTCCAACTTACATACAAATTCAACTTAAGAACAAACTCACATAAACAATCTTGTTCGTAACTTGAGAACTGCCTGTACTGGTAATAAGAGCTTAAAGCTAAAATATGCATGTATTTTTTCTCCCATCCTTTTGCCTTATGTTTAATTCTCCACATGAATATGGCCTCCATCAACATTCTTTCAAAGAGGTTCTCCAAGGATGCATCTGAACTGCAGAATTAATGTAGCGAGACTTTAAACCATTGTGGCTCAATGCTATGGGATCCTGGGATTTATAGTTTGGTGAGGTACCAACACTTTTTTGGCAGAGATAGCTATAGACTGTCATACACCAGAGTAGGAACACCTTTGACCTTAAACACCACACCAGCTTGGTAAAATTGGCAAGCAGTTTATTGAAGAATTTAAGTAGGCAAAGCAATAAAATTAACAAAAACAGTAAAGTTTCAAAGCAAAGGTTATTCAATGACCTTCAAGGTAAAACAAGGTCCATAGGTATATACATCCATAAAACAAGACAGCATGAAAAATCCAATAAATAAACCAGGACCTTGGCAAAAACTTGGTATAGGATACTAAGAACACTTGAAAACAAGACCGTCGTGAAATTCCAACATTGACCCAATTGAGGCAACTCATTCCCATGGAGTCCTTGTGGACAACAAGTTAAACATGAGCCAACAATGTGATGTGGTGGCAAAAAAAGCCAATGGGATTTTGGCCTGCATCAATAGGAGCATAGTGTCTAGATCTAGGGAAGTCATGCTCCCCATGCTCTATTCTGCTTGGGTTAGACCACACCTGGAATATTGTGTCCAATTCTGGGCACCACAATTCAAGAGAGATATTGACAAGCTGGAATGTGTCCAGAGGAGGGCGACTAAAATGATCAAGGGTCTGTAGAACAAGCCCTATGAGGAGCGGCTTAAGAGCTGGGCATGTTTAGCCTGAAGAAGAGAAGGCTGAGAGGAGATATGATAGCCATGTATAAATATGTGAGAGGAAGCCACAGGGAGGAGGGAGCAGCTTGTTTTCTGCTTCCCTGGAGACTAGGATGCGGAACAATGGCTTCAAACTACAAGAAAGGAGATTCCATCTGAACATGAGGAAGAACTTCCTGACTGTGAGAGCCGTTCAGCAGTGGAACTCTCTGCCCCGGAGTGTGGTGGAGGCTCCTTCTTTGGAAGCTTTTAAACAGAGGCTGGATGGCCATCTTTCAGGGGTGATTTAAATGCAATATTCCTGCTTCTTGGCAGGGGGTTGGACTGGATGGCCCATGAGGTCTCTTCCAACTCTTTGATTCTATAATCAATATAAGACTTTTCCAGATCGCAAAACTAAAAGGAAAACATGTCTTTTGACCTTACCACCAGATAAAGGTTTCTTACCTCTCTTTTCCTGTAAACGAACTTATCTTCTTTGCGCCTGAGTACTCTGTCGCTGTTTACAAAAGCCTTGCTTCCTATCTATGCTCTAATTAGCTTGACTCTCATTAACTACTTCATCTGACAAATCATCTTCAGACAGTTGCTCTGAGAAAGACTGGGAAGGTCCTCTCCCAGGAATGTGACCTTGTGAATCTTCCAGAGACAGCTTAGACTTCTCATCTAAGCTTAACTCAAACCCAGGCAAACCCTCATCCGCACTGCCAACAGAACCAGGCCCACCATCAAGACAATCATGCCCATTCCCATCATGAACATCAGACACAATCACAGGCTGAATAGGCTGACATACAACAAAAACCTTGTAAAACATAAACTTCCAGAATGCCATTGCATTGAGTCATGTAGTGGTGTCAAACTGAATTAATTCTACAATGTAAATACATGATCAACAACCCTGACCTGGACTTGAGTTACAGACTGACCAGCGTTTCTAAATGTCTCATCCCTTTCCTTGTTGCTGTGTTTTGCAGAGAAGCCTGCTGTCTTCATGAAATCCTTGGATGATGTGGTTGGAGAAGAGCGGGGCACCATCACCCTGGAATGTGAGGTCTCCAAGCCAAAGGTCAAACCCATCTGGAAGAAGGAGGGCCTGGAGCTCACGCCAGGAGAGAAGTACGAGATGCTTCAGGCGGGGAAGACGCTGGGTCTCGTCATCCATGACCTCAGCAAGAGCGACGCCGGACTGTATACCTGTGACCTCGGCACAGAGGTCGCCAAGTCTAGGGTCAACATCCAAGGTAAGAGACTCTGGAGAATGACATCCAGAACTACAGGATGGGACACACACCCATTAAGCTGTATAGTCCATAGTACAATGTGTTACAAACAGGGGTAGATACTAGGCTTGGTTGATTTAAAAAATGGTTCAAAACTCATTTCGGATGTAGGGGGCACTGGTGGTTCGATTCTAAAGTCACTTCCAAATTTTTCCAAAAAAAGTCGGAACTTTCCGAAACTTCCGAAACTTCCGAATTAATAGCTTCATTAATGGCAGACGCATTTGTGCAATATGTGGAAAACAGCACTGGCACTGAGGAAACTCCAAGTTCTTCTCCCTCCCTCATTTTTACACCAATTTTGATGAAAGCTGATCTACTGCTACTCCACATTTAAGCAAACCTATCCAACCCTAGTAAATACAATAACCTTTAGTAAAGCCAGCATGGTATAATCACTACACCATTCTGGTTCCCCTTCACACTGCCTTTTATACTTTGAAGTAGTAAAGCTTTAGAATCATAGAATCAAAGAGTTGGAAGAGACCTCATGGGCCATCCAGTCCAACCCCCTGCCAAGAAGCAGGAATATTGCATTCAAATCACCCCTGACAGATGGCCATCCAGCCCCTGTTTAAAAGCTTCCAAAGAAGGAGCCTCCACCACACTCCGGGGCAGAGAGTTCCACTGCTGAATGGCTCTCACAGTCAGGAAGTTCTTCCTCATGTTCAGATGGAATCTCCTCTCTTGTAGTTTGAAGCCATTGTTCCGCATCCTAATCTCCAGGGAAGCAGTAAACAAGCTTGCTCCCTCCTCTCTGTGGCTTCCTCTCACATATTTATACATGGCTATCATATCTCCTCTCATCCTTCTCTTCTTCAGGCTAAACATGCCCAGCTCCTTAAGCCGCTCCTCATAGGGCTTGTTCTCCAGACCCTTGATCATTTTAGTCTCCCTCCTCTAGACACATTCCAGCTTGTCAATATCTCTCTTGAATTGTGGTGCCCAGAATTGGACACAATATTCCAGGTGGGTGTAACCAAAGCAGAATAGAGGGGTAGCATTACTTCCTTAGATCTAGACACTATGCGCCTATTGATGCAGGCCAACATCCCATTGGCTTTTTTTGCCACATCACATTGTTGGCTCATGTTTAACTTGTTGTCCACGAGGACTCCAAGATCTTTTTCACAAGTACTGCTCTCGAGCCAGGCATTGTCCCCCATTCTGTATCTTTGCATTTCGTTTTTCCTGCCAAAGTGGAGTATCTTGCATTTGTCACCTTTGAACTTCATTTTGTTAGTTTTGAAAAATTTCTTATTTAAGAAAAAACAGGAACAAGCTACTTTAAAGTCTCTGTTTCCTCTTGGAGAGAAAAAGCAGGGTATAAATAAGCATAATAATAATAATAATAATAATAATAATAATAATAATTTACCAAGATCTAGTCAGAACCAGCAGGTATCATATGTACGACGTATTTATAGGTTCTACAATTCAAATACTTTGTGTTCATCAAAATACAATATACATTAAACTTTCTGCAGTTGTTCCCTCAATTAATAATAATAATAATAATAATAATAATAATAATAATAATAATAAAGAATGTGGAAATGTTTTTAGTCAGAACTAGCAGGCATCATATGCATGACTTATTTATAGATTCTACAATTCAAATACTTTGTTTTCATCAATTTCCTAACCAGTAAAAACATTTCCACATTCTTTCTCTCTCAAGTTTCTAATGAGAAAGAAGTTGGGTAGTTTCTTCGTTACAAAAAATAATAATAATAAAATAAAGAGCCACCAATCAACCCTAACAAGACATGCTTTTATTCCGAGTTAACCAAGTTTTACTGTGTCGATCTCTACTGTACAGCATATATAGCTATAGCTCAATATAGAATACAGTGCAATACCAAAACATGTTTAACACTGCCACAGTAGGCAATGTGATTGTACACAGCAAAAGCCCATGGCAGAACCATAGAGAGTATGGCATGGCTTAAGGTCCTCGTCCATGTCTGGGACTGCTCTAACATTCAAATTTAACATATAATAATGCTAGGAAATGTATTCAAATGCCTTCAATATTTTATGTATCCCCCCCCCCCTCTTTGTTGGAAATGTAGAAACAAAAACAGTGGCATCACTGGGGGTTGCAATGGGTGCAGACCGCATTCAATGACACAGTCAAAATAATTATTTGTGAGTTGCATGAATATAAAAAACATTGCTAAGGATTCTGTATGATCTGCTGTGGAAGGAGATCCATAGGGGAGATGTCATGAGTTACTGCACTGAGTGACACCAAACCCAGTGAGACCACTGCAAAAAAGGTGGATGGGGTTGATGGGCCTTGTGGTCCATTGCATCTGGAGTCTTCCAGACCATAAATCAGGCATGCCAACTTGGTCCCTCCAGGAGTTTTTACTTCAACTCCCACCATTCCTAACAGCCTACCAGCTGTTAGGAATGGTGCTAGTTGGAGTCTAAAACAGAGGGCCAAAGTTTGCCCATGCCTGCCATAGATGGTTGATATATGCAAGGAGAACCTTTCTCTCACAACTCGCTTTCCTCCATCTCCCTCTCCAGAGCTGAATGTTGGCATCACAAAACGCTTAAAGAACACCGAAGTGCTGGAAGGAGAAAGCTGCAGCTTTGAATGTGTCCTCTCCCATGAGAGTGTTGAGGATTGCCATTGGCTGCTCAATGGGACTGAAGTGGGCCATGAAGGACGGTTTAGGGCCTTCAACAAAGGAAGGAAGTATACCCTCAATATCAAAAAAGCCCTACCTTCTGACGCTGGAGAAGTGGTTTTCTCTGGACGGGACCTGAACTCTAAGGCCTTGCTGGTCGTGAAAGGTGGGTAGCAAAAGAGCTGTCATATTCAGTTGGCTCTCCACATTTCACTTTTGTGAATTTGATTAAAATGTTCTCTCTAGACATCTCTAGGTCTCCCAGTGCAATTCTGTGGTCAAATATCCCTGGAAGTAGACCACAGAGTCATGCTGGATGACTTAGAGATGATCAGAGAGAACAACTCTCTAGCAATCTCCAGTTCCTCCGGTGTGATTTTATGGTTAGCATCTGGCAGAAGTTGACCATAGACTCATGCTAGAGGACCTAGAGATTTTAATAGAGATGCCCTCTCAGTTAAAAAAGTGGATTTTTAAATTTACAGTTTTCCCACTTTTGTGCTGGTCTTGTGCTCCTAACTTCAGTGAATGTGGAGGACTCATTTCATAGATGGATGTTAGCTGGATTATACGCGTAGATAGATGGAGGATGGATGGATAGATGATAGATGGATGTTCGATGGATTATAGATGGATGGTGGATGGATGGATGGATGGATGATAAATGGGTGTTAGATGAGTGATAGATGGATGTTAGATACATTATAGATGGATGGATAGATGGGTGATAGATGGGTAGATGATGGATGGATGTTAGATGGATTATGGATGGATGAAGGATGGATGGATAGATGATGGATGGATGTTAAATGGATTATAAATGGATGGATGAATGGGTGATAGATGGATTAAAGATGGATGATGGATGGATGATAGATGATAGATGTGTATTAGATGGATTGTAGATGGATGGAGGATGGATGGATAGGTAGATAGATGGATGATAGATGGGTGTTAGATGGATTATAGATGGATGGAGGATGGATGAATAGATGGATGGGTGTTAGATGGGTGATAGATGTTAGATGGATTATAGAAGGAGGAAGGATGGATGGGTGATAGATGAGTATATGATGGATGGACGTTAGATGGATTATAGATGGATGGAGGATGGATATATGGTATATAGATGGATGTTAGATGGATTATAGATGGATGGAGGATGGATAGATGATGGATGGATGTTAAATGGATTATAAATGGATGAAGAATATGTGGATGACAGATGGATTAAAGATGGATGTCAGATGGATTATAGATGGATGGAGGATGGATGGATGGATGGATGGATGGATGGATAGATAGATAGATAGATAGATAGATAGATAGATAGATAGATAGATGATAGATGGGTGCTAGATGGATGCTAGATTGATGTTAGATGGATTATAGATGGATGGATGTATGTTAAATGGATTATAAATGGATGAAGGATGAATGGGTGATAGATGGATTAAAATAGATGATGGATGGATGGATGATACTGTAGATGATAGATGAGTGTTAGATGGATTATAGATGGATGGAGGATGGATGGATAAATAGATTGCTAGATGGGTGTTAGATGGGTGATAGATGGATGTTAGATGGATTATAGATGGATGGAGGATTCAGGAGGGCTGGGAACAACAAAAATTGCTGTTGTGGCTGCATTGGTTGCAATTATTTTGTTATTTTGCTTCCTTCCAGAAAAGCCAGCAGAATTTACCAAGAAGCTGGAAGACAAGACCACGGTGGTGGGCCAGGAGGTGAGCCTGAGCTGTGACATGTCCAAGTGGGACAGCAACGTCAAGTGGTGCAAGGATGGGAAGGAGATCCGGAGGAGCCAGAAGTACGACATCCGGCAGGAGGGGACCCGGGCCATCTTGATCATCCACGATGCCTCCGTCAAGGACAGTGGGGAATATACCTGCGAGACAGAAATCTCCAAAACCAAAGCAAGGCTTACTGTGGAAGGTGAGTGTTCATCCTCTGAGAAGAATGGCGCAGGAGATAGAGCTCAGAGTAGCAACTTTTGTGGTCATGTTGGGTTTCTGGGAGTCATCGTTCAACACAGTGCATTCTCAGGGTCTGAGCAGGTTCTAGTTCATCTTAACGAAACTTTCCTACATTTTTCTTATTGTTGTTGTTAACTGCTGTCAAGTTGACCTTGACTTCTGGTGACCCCATGAATGAGATACTTCCAAGCCACCATCAAATGTCATGTTCAGGTTCTGCAGATTCAGGGCTGTGGCTTCCATGATTGAGTCTATCCATCTGATATGTGGTCATCACCTTTTCTTACTGACTCCTAACTTACCAAATATTACTGTCTTTTCTAATGAGTCCCATCTTCTTATGATATGACCTAATGTGGTAAGTCTCTGTTTAGACATCTTAGCTTCTAGGGACAGTTCAGGCTTGATTTGTTCCGGGACCAATTCATTTGCCTATGTCAGGCATGGGCAAACTTCAGCCCTTCAGGTGTTTTGAACTTCAGCTCCCACAATTCATCTATCTATAATCCATCTCCAAATATCATCCTTGGAGAAGATGGCAGGTGGACCAGACTCCTCTAGTCTGTCACAATTTTGGAATAGTAAAATATCTCTTACATAGCGTATTTCTCATTGATGTTGTTACAAAAAGTTGCAAATGAATGACAGGCAGCTAAAACATCCTGACTCCATGAGTTCCAGACAGATGTTAGCTTTTTTCTTTAACTAATTACTGGTTTTCCTTTTTAACGCAAGGAACTATTGTGTTGACTTAACATAAAAGAGCCGTTGTCCTAGGTAATGTAAACATGTTGTTTTCCACCAAGAGTTAATAATTTGTCTCTGGCCATTAATGTAAGCAGTTCAGCAGTTTTAGTAGTTTCCTAGGCTCCAGTATTACAATGGCATCTCTAGCCTCTATATGTCCCAGCCACACTCCTTTCATACTATTTCATATGTATGAGAATTGGTTGTCTAAATCAAGAGATGTTGGACCAAAGCTGGGGCCTAGCAATAATTCAGGGCCTGGAACCAGTCAAAGGATCAACAAGGCAAGGGTGAATCATAGAATCATAGAATCAAAGAGTTGGAAGAGACCTCATGGGCCATCCCATGAGTCACATGAAAAATGGAACCCGGTCAGGCATTACAAAATCAATCATAGTACTAGCCCGAGAATGATTGTCAAAGTCTCTGTCCTGTAATGGAGGGTTGTATTCTTGAACTCCTCCAAGGCTCAGTTCAATGGTAGCAAGAATATGGCCAGGTTCTGGATTAGGTGTTGAATGTATCTAGGAGAAATAGTTCAGCACCACTTTGACTGAACGGTGCTTGGCAGCTGTGATGGTCTGGATGAGGGCGAACAAATTGAAACTGAATCCAAACAAGACAGAGGTGCTCTTGGTCAGTCAGAAGGCTGAACAGGGTGTATGGTTACAGCTAGTGTTGAATGGGGCTACACTCTCCCTGAAGACACAGGTTCACAGCTTGGGTGTTCTCCTGGACTTGTCGCCAAGCCTGGAACCACAGGTTTCATGGGTGGCCAGGGGAGCGTTCGCACAATTAAAACTTGTGCACCAGTTGCACCTGTACTTTAGGAACTCAAACTTGGCCATGGTGAGCCACACTCTTGTTACATCTTGAATAGACTACAACAATGCACTCTGTGTGGGGTTGCCTTTGAAGACTGTTCGGAAGCTCCAAGTGGTCCAACAGGCAGCAGCTAGGTTCCTCACTGGAGCGGCATACAGAGAGCATACAACTCCCCTGTTACATCAGCTCCACTGACTGCCAGTTTGCTACCGAGCCTATAAAGTCCTAACGGTTCCTGCCCAGCTTACCTGTCCAAATGTATCTCCTACTATGAACTATCACAGAACTTAGTATTTTCTGGGGAGGCCCTGGTCTTGGTCCTGCCTTCCTCACAGATGCGATTGGCGGCGACGAGACACAGGGCCTTCTCAGTGGTGGCCCCCAACTATAAAACTCCCTCTTCAGCAATGTTTGATCAGCTCCTTCCCTTCTAGCCTTCAGAAAGAGAGTTAAAACCTGGCTTTGGGACCAAGCTTTTGGAGAATAACTGCAGTGCAATAAATGAGCATAGAATCTGTGCAATGACATTCAGAATGGCCCTGGATTACGATTTTGGATTATGTAATTTTAATAATTGATGTGATTGTTTTTAGATGTTTTAACTTTCTGGTTTTTAATGTAGATGTTTATGAATTGTATGTTATTTTAAGGCATTTAATTGTTGCTAATTTTTCTGAGTCCCCCTCAGGGTTGAGAAGGGCGGCGTACAATTATAGTAAATAAATAAACATTCCAGAAACGTGTTCAGCTGTCATCATACTTATTCTTTGAGCTGTTTCCCGGAACTGTCTTATCTCTGTTTCTATGCTTCAAGGGACTTAAAAAAATATTTATTCTATCTCACGTTAGAAGCGGGGAATTGCTTCATCAAAGATCTTTCAGACCTGAAGATAGAAGAAAATAAAAAAGCAGTTTTTACCTGTGAAACTAAGAAGCCAGCTTCGACTGTGACATGGAGGAAAGGGATCACGGATCTCAAAGCGAGCAAGAAATGTGAGATTAGCCAGAAGGGGAACGTGCTGCAACTCACGGTGAACGACTTGGTGGAAAGTGACACCGACATCTATACTTGCGACATTGGTGACATGCAGTCAAGCGCAAAGCTGGTTGTAAAAGGTAGGAAATGCCATCTAGTTTCTCTTGGTAGAGCAGAGGCAGGGTCATAGATCAGTGTCTGGAGGGAAATCAGTTCCAACATTACATTTCTGCAAACAAGCCTGTAAGGACATGAACATACTTCTATTCATATGCAAATATGGAGGACCTACTGTAGTGTCTATTGCAGGCATGGGCAAACTTGGGCCCTCCGGGTGTTTTGGACTTCAACTCCCACAATTCCCAATAGCTGGTACTTACTTTACTTACTTAGTAGTCCGAGGATGATGGTCCTCCAAGTGTAGTGTCCTGGCGGTGGGTCCGTAGGTGACTGTGGAGCCCTATTCTTGATCTGCATCTTCTCCCGCAGTGAGGGCATCGGTTTCCAGGTGGACGGCGATCCCTGTCGGGGTTGGCTTGATGTGCCTTCCTCTTGGCACGTTTCTCTCTTTTGCCCTCCATTCATGCCTTTTCAAATTCTATAGCACTGCTGGTCATGGCTGACCTCCAGCTGGAGCACTCAAGGGCCAGGGCTTCCCAGTTTTCAGTGTCTATGCCAGAGTTTTTAAAGTTGTCTTTGAGGCTCATCTTTGAATTTCTTTTCCTGCCCACCAACATTTCGTTTTCCATTCTTGAGTTTGGAATAGGGCAACTTCTTTGGGAGATGGTGGTCGGGCATCCGGACAATGTGGCCGGTCCAGCCGAGTTGATGGCGGAGGAGCATCGCTTCAATGCTGGTGGTCTTTGCTTCTTCCAGTATGCTGACATTTGTTCGCTTGTCTTTCCAAGAGATTTGCAGGATTTTCCAGAGGCAGCGCTGATGGAATCGTTCTAGCAGTTGCATGTGATGTCTGTAGACTGTCCACGTTTCAGAGGCGTATAGCAGGGTTGGGAGGACAATAGCTTTATAAACAAGCACCTCAGTCTCCCTACAGATGTCCCGGTCCTCAAATACTCTCTGCTTCGTTAATAAAAAAGCTGCACTCGCAGAGCTCAGGCAGTGTTGTGTTTTGGTGTCCATGTTGACTTTTGTGGAGAGGTGGCTGCCAAGGTAGCGGAGATGGTCAAAATTTTCTAATGTTACACCATTAAGCTGTATCTCTGGCATTGGAAAGGGATTGGCTGGTGACTGCTGGAAGAGCACTTTGGTTTTTTCAATGTTCAGTGACAGGCCGAGCTTCTTGTACGCTTCTGCAAAGGTGTTTGGCTTGTAGGTCTTCTTCTGAATGCGCACAGACAACATTGTCATCAGCATACTGGAGTTCTATAACTCTAGTAGGCTGTTAGGAATGGTGGGAGTTGAAGTTCTAAACACCTGGAGGGCCCAAGTTTGCCCATGCTTGGTCTAATGCCTCCTATAAAATGAGATATGTGCAACAAAAAGCACAATTCACCACACATTGTGACTACGTCTTGTCTTGTCAAATGGATTGCCTTCATGATGAGTCCCATTTCGACATTTGTGCAGTATTGCAATTTGTTTATTGTGATAATTATTTAAACTTTAATTCCTGTACTGTTATCTTATCAAGGTATCTAAACTCCCTTCCTCTATACCACAGGTTCAAACTTCCACACACAAAGTTCTGAATCATGCTAGCAAATGAAAGTTCTTGTGTTCATGTATGTGTATGTCTGTTTTCCATTTCTAGGTCAGGACCAAAGAGTATGGCGCAGAGTCACTAATAGTCTGCTGTGTTCAAGTGGTGGATCTCTACAATCCAATATAGTAAATTGTATTTGCTTTTTGGAAGGGAAATACCATGCCAATGGGTTTGATGGGACTCATTCTCAGTTAGGTGCTTGGTGCTTTCATTGGTCTATCAAGGCAGTATTTGATATCGCTGAATGGCAGTGATTCTCTAGAGTTTGAGGCAGGATTTCTCCTATCCATATCTGGAGGGCCTTGGGATTCACCTGTGGAACTCACTCCCGGGGGAAATTAGGGCATCGACATCCCTCCTCGCCTTCAGGAGGAAGGTAAAGACGTGGTTGTGGGACCAGGCCTTTGGGCAATCTGACAATTAGATATGGACAACCAGAGGGATAGGACTGAAAGGACTGACAATTGGAATGTGAACTATGAGATTGTGAAACGCTGACCGTTAATGAGGAGAAATGGTTTGTATCAGTTTTATTGCTTTAATTGGTTTTAAGGTTGTTTTTGCCTATAATAGTTGTTGTTTTGCTAATGGATGTTATTGCTGTTTGTTAACTGATGTTTATTGTCCTATTGTTGTTATGTGATGCGGGCATCGAATTGTGCCTCGCTTTTGTAAGCCGCCCTGAGTCCCCCTGAGTCGGGGTGAGAAGGGCGGGGTAGAAGCAACCGAAATAAATAAATAAATTCCTTGGTTGCCTCCCATCCAAGTGTGAACTCTACTTAGTTTCTGAAATCAGACAAGACCAGTGCGTTCCAGTTACTCTAGCGATATCTCATTCTGGAAGGCAGTTGGAAATACATGTAAAACCATTGAATATCTCAGTAGCAAAATTTTAGAAACCTTTTCACTTCCACCAATGGAGCATCCCAACCCTACAGCTGTCAACAAAATCATGCGTACGATATTGCCGTCATCGGATATTTCTGTGTTTGCTGTTTTCTGTTATTGTAGAGTCTATTTGTCTCTATTTTACATCTAGCTGTGTGTATTTTTGTCTTACCTTTTGTGTCAGTCTGTCACCTACTATGTGTACAACAATCAATGTTACATGTTGATATTGTAGGCAGAAATTGTACGTTATATGTGCGTATGTTAATTACATGTTATAACACTTAGTCCACGTGAACCTAAATTATAATTTTTCTCCATTAAAGAGCATTATATTGGAAGCAGACTGAGGTTATGATCTGAATTGTTTTCAGGATATATATATAATTGCAAGTTGTCTGTTAAATAGCTGTTAATTCCTACTTCCGTCTCGGACCTCTGGATTTCCCATTTCAGGCTTTCATATTCCTACTTGCAAAACAGCACATAGGGAAACCCTGAACCCACATTCCTTGATCTCCTGTTTTATGTTCACCGTCTTCAATTCTGCATTTTTAGCCCTGCCGGTTCTTATTCAACAAGAACTGCAAAACAGGGAAGCTCAGGAAGGAAGCAAAGTCCGCTTGAGCTGTGAGCTGAACAAACCAGACCTGCCGGTTCAATGGATGAAGGGCAGCAACGTCCTGCAAGCCGGCGATAAGTATGAACTCAAGCAACGGGGCACCGTGGTGGAGCTGGTCATCCGGGATGTGAAGGCGGCGGATGCCGGGGAATACACGTGTGCCATTGGCGAGGTCAAGACATCTGCTCATGTGGAAGTGACGGGTAGGAAGAACCATGGGCTCTGGGAAGCTCTGCTCTGTTTGCAATCATCTGATGGTCAACGTTTTGTAGTTCATACCTTATAGAAGCAGATTATAGTGCATTCCATAATCTACTTGTCTCTGTTTTTCCTCAGCTCGTACAGATATGTATGAGATTATACCAGTGTTTGCATATTATAATTGTATATACCAGGCATGGGAAAACCTGGGCCCTCCAAGTTTGCCCATGCTTGGTTGATCTCATGTATAAGTTGAGGTCAGATGTTGTGGCCAAAACTATGGATTTTGAAGCATGGATGCTGTGGCCAAAACTATGGATTTATCCCATGGATAAATCAAGGACATTCTGTTGACAGGAGGAAACACCAGCGCTGCCCTAGTGGGACATATGACCATTTAGACTCATGAATTAGCCATTCTTCTACGTGGTCTCTGTGAAATTGCACATATGGGTCTCGGTCACCTGTGCAGTCATGTTTGACCCAAACATAGATGAATCAATCCAGATTTTGGGGCCTGTTTTCTGACTAAATTTTTAAAATTTAGACTTGAGTCCTTCCTGATAGTACTTACAGAGATTTGGTTGAAACTGAGCAATGTATATTGGTTAAAGGACCACGATATGATAGAGAAAATGCTAGGTTGTATGTCCTACATCACAGGAAATGGTGTATATGGTTATGGATTCACTGGAGTCTGTTGTGGTGGCTCTCAGAATGGGATCTTGAAAGAGCTTGGAGTAGGTCAAATATGCCAGGGCTAGTCTCAATGTAGTCTTAACCGAACGTACCCTTGTAATCTGTAACAGTGACTCAGATGATTGAATGATGTGAGGGAGAAGGGTTATGGTTTTCTCCCTGACATGCAGACCTAAGGGACTACCTCATTGAGACCTGAGTGTATTCCTGCATATGAATGTAGCTGCATTTCCACTCCAACCTGTACTTTCCCCCCTTTCCTGGTTGTTCATTTTAGCTGCACCAATCATGTTTAAAGAAGAGCTTAGAGATACGGAGAAAGAAGAGGGGGAAGTTGTAGCTTTGCGCTGTGTCCTTGCCGCACCGGATGTCACCGTGTCCTGGAAAAAAGGAGCCACTGTCCTTCGGGCCAGTGAGAAGTATGAGATGAAGAAGGAAGGCTGTGTAGCTGAACTAATCATTCATGACGCAGAGACAGAGGATGCTGGGAGATATTCCTGTGACACTGGAGAACAGCAGAGCACAGCTCAGGTCAAAGTCCATGGTAGGGTGAACAGGAACACGTCCAATTCATTGTGTCTTCCCCCTTCTCTGTTTTTGCACAAGCTCTTTCAAATTTTGGTTTCCCAGGTTTAACATCTATTATAATCGCGTGAACTAAATAAGTTTGGATTATCTTATAGTGTTGGCTCACATTCCTATATCCTTATCTTCTTGTTTGAAGGTCAGTTTGGTCAACAGGATTTTAGTACTCTTTTGATTCATAGCTCATTAAAAGAAATCTAAAAGTGCAGAGTGATAGAGCGATTACAGTGTTAAGGTCTCATCAGCTACCCATCTTCTGATAGTCAACTAAGCATTAAGATGCCATTTTGCTAAACTGAACTTAGAAAAAGATAGGAAAGGTGGTAGAGTTTTAGTAGAAACCAAGGGAAAATGGAATGGTCCAAAAACAGTGACTTAGGTGATCTCTCGTAGTCCGAGTAGGATTGACTTCCAAGATAGGTGTCCTGGCGGTGGGTCTGTAGGTGACTCTGGAGCCCTATTCTTGATCTGCAACCAGGTGGAAGGCAGTCCTGGTCAGGGTTGGCTTGATGAGCCTTCCTCTTGGCACATTTCTCTCTTTCACCCTCCATTCATGCCTCTTCAAATTCTACAGCACTGCTGGTCACAGCTGACGTCCAGCTGGAGCGCTCAAGAGCCAGGGCTTCCCAGTTCTCCTTGTCTATGCCAGAGTTTTTAAGGTTGGCTTTGAGCCCATCTTTAAATCTCTTTTTCTGCCCACCAACATTCCATTTTCTGTTCTTGAGTTTGGAGTAGAGCAACTACTTTGGGAGACGGTGGTCAGGCATCCGGACAGCATGGCCAGTCCAGCGGAGTTGATGGTGGAGGACCATCACTTCAATGCTGGTGGTCTTTGCTTCTTCCAGCACACTCACATTTGCCCCTTGTCTTTCCAAGAGATTTGCAGGATTTTTCAGAGGCAGCGCTGATGGAATCGTTCCAGGAGTTGCATATGATGTTTGTAGATAGTCCACGTCTCACAGGCGTATAGCAGCGTTGGGAGGACAATAGCTTTATAAACAAGTACCTTGGTATCCCTACGGATGTCCTGGCCCTCAAACACTCTGTGCTTCATTCGGAAAAATGCTGAACTCACAGAGTTCAGGTGGTGTTGTATTTTGGTGTCAATGTTGACTTTTGTGGAGAGGTGGCTGCCAAGGTAGCGGAATTGGTCAACATTTTCTAACGTTACACAATTAAGCTGTATTTCTGGCATTGCAGAGGGATTGGCTGGTGACTTGAGTCACCAGCCAAAAACAGTAAGAGAGAGAGAATCAGAGGAGAAAAGATCAGGAGAACTAGTTGAAAGAATGTGAAGAAACTAGGTTCTTGTGGGTTTTTTCGGGCTATAGGGCCATGTTCTAGAGGCATTTTCTCCTGATGTTTCGCCTGCATTTATGGCAAGCATCCTCAGAGGTAGTGAGATCTGTTGGAATTAGGACAATGGGTTTACATATCTGTGGAATGGCTGGGGCGGGGCAAAGAGCTCTTCTCTGCTGGAGCCATTCCAACAGACCCCACTGCCTCTGAGGATGCTTTCCATAGATGCAGGTGAAACGTCAGGAGAAAATGCCTCTAGAACATGGCCCTATAGCCCGAAAAAACCCAAAAGAACCTAGTGATTCCAGCCATGAAAACCTTCGACAATACAATGTGAAGAAAGTTCCAAAGTTGAGAAAGCTGGAATGAAGTTGTATAGTTGTATGAATTTCCATCTCCTAAAATGCAACCAGAAGCTCTTAAAGTGATGCTCATATATGTAAAGGAAACCCTTCTTCCTTCAGCGACACCTGTCCGTTTCAAAGAAGCCCTGAAGAACACAGAAGCCACACAAGGCGGAGTGGTCACTCTGCGTTGTGAGCTCAACAAACCTGCTCCGGTCGAGTGGATGAAAGGGCAGAAAGGCTTGAGGCCCAGCAGCAAATACAGAATGAAGAAAGAAGGTCCTGTTGTGGAATTGATTGTCCATGATCTGGACCTGAAGGATGCTGGAGATTACTCCTGTACCGCTGGAGACCAAAAGACAACAGCTGTTCTAACAGTGAATGGTAAAAACTCAACGTTGGTAGTCTTTTGGCAAGGTCCCGTCACCTTAACTCATTCCTCTTCTACTTTTTCTTTGTCTTGGCCTTCTTCATCATATTGGCATGATGTACCAAGATTTACTCTTCATTGATTTCACATGTTACGTGATTTCTGACAAATTGTAGAGCAGGCAGAAGGGATATACCTTATCATGCAACTCTTCCACCTCCATTAAGAAAGGGTTGAGTGTTATGCCTTATAAATAGGTTTCCGCAGAGCCCCCAGTGGCACAGTGGGTTAAACCAGTGGTTCTCATCTTGGGGTCCCCAGATGTTTTTGGCCTTCAACATCCAGAAATCCTAACAGCTGGTAAACTGGCTGGGATTTCAGGGAGTTGTAGGCCAAAAACATCTGGGGACCCCACGTTGAGAACCACTGGGTTAAACCCTTGTGCCATCAGGATTTCTGACCAACATGTCAGCAGTTTGAATCCGAGGAGAGTGGGTTGAGCTCCCTCTGTCAGCTCCAGCTCCAAATGCAGGGACATGACAGAAGTCACCCACAAGGATGGTAAAACATTAGAAACATCTGGACGTCCCCTGGGCAACATCTCTGCAGATGGCCAATTCTTTCACACCAGAAGCAACTTGCAGTTTCTTAAGTTGTTCCTGACATGAAAAATGTAGGTTTCTAATCTTACTTTAAAAAAAAATGGAGTCCCTTATTATTTGGTAAGAAATTGATGTTGAATTTGGTCTTCGAAAGTTAGAAATGCATGGATTCTATTGAAAGTATGTCATGAAGGAAACTCCTCGCAACTAAGTCCAGTATCATAAATAGAGACTGAAGTGGGTTGGTTGGAGGAGCTCATTGTAGCTCAGGCATGGGCAAACTTGGGCCCTCCAGGTGTTTTGGACTTCAACTCCCACCATTCCTAACAGCCTATCGGCTGTTAGGAATGGTGGGAGTTGAAGTCCAAAACACCTGGAGGGTCCAAGTTTGCCCATGCCTGTTGTAGCTTGTGGCTGTTGACAGAGTCTGTGTTTGATCTGCATTTCCTAGCCTTGCCAGCCCAGTTCAAAAAACAACTCAAGAACGAGGAAGCCACTGAGAGTGGAACAGCCACTCTGCAATGTGAGCTAACTAAGGCAGTCGACTCCGTCGAGTGGATGAAGGATCAGAAGGTGCTGGAACCCAGCGACAAGTACAGAATGCGGCTAGAAGGCCGCTTTGCTGAGCTCACCATCCAAGACCTGGAACCGGGGGATGCTGGGAGCTACACTTGTGTGTGCGGAGATCTGAAAACCACTGCTGCTTTGAAAGTCAATGGTAATTAACAGCAACAGCCTGTTAATGCACAAGCTTTATATCATACCGTAAAGTGCTTTTGCTCCACCAAGGATTTCTTTTAGTTCTTAGTAGCTTCCGTAGTTCTAACTTCTCTTAATACGCAAATGTATGATATCTTGCAAGATGCCCAGATAATTCTTCTTAGAGTGTGCTTTTCATCTATTTATTATTTATTTATTTACAGCATTTATATTCCGCCCTTTCCATCCCGCAGGGGACTCAGGGTGGATTACAGTGTACACATATATGGCAAACATTCAATGCCAATTTTGAAATACAAACATATACAGACATAAACAGAGGCTATTTAACTTTTTCTGGCCGCCAGGGGAGCTGTCGCTTTCATCGTCCATCTGCGCCACTGATGAAGCACTTCCGCATTCCCCGCATGCTTCCTCGCTGGAATGCTTTTGCTGGAGTCTTCTTTATGGCCTCATAAATCAGTTAATTTAGACTTTAAGGTGGTACCTAATTTTCCTACTTGACAGATGCAACTGTCTTTCGGGTTGCAAAGGTCGACAACAGGCTACACAATTGGTTGGAAACCCACTCCAACCAGGGCTGGCTTCGAACTCAGAGTGATCTTAATGCAGAGTGATTTGGTCAGAGTGATCTTAATGCAGCTGACACTCAGCCAGCTGCGCCACAATCCCGGTGCCGTGCCACAGTCCTATTGATACAGCTCTTTCTCATGCTAGGAACATTCCCCGAAACTTTTCATTTGTTTATTTTTTTCATTTTGTCTTCATATACTTTTCCAGTAACATGGAGCTTTCCTACCTAAGCCACCAAGTCCTCCATTGATGTGACTCTTTCTCTCTGTCCATATTGCATTCTCTAGCACTGCCTGTGTTTTTTCAAGAAGAGCTAAAAAGCCACGAGGTTGCGGAGGGTGAGACGGTGACTTTGCACTGCAGGCTGAGCAAGGCCTCCCCTGTGGAGTGGCAAAAGGGGCCAAAGACACTCAAAGCAGGCGGCAGATACAAAATCAGGCAGGATGGGCTCAATGCTGAGCTGGTGATCCATGACTTGGTTGTGGCAGACGCTGGAGACTACTCTTGCAAGTGTGGAAACCAGAAGACTACAGCTAGCTTGACAGTGAATGGTAATAAACCTAGCTATGCATACCTGTGGCCATCTCTTACAACTTTTCCTCCAAAATTAATTCCAAAGCAAACTTTCTGATCCTTCCTCATTACTGTCATTGCATGTCTGACATTCCTTTCCCCCTCCTCTCCAACATACCTTTGTGATCTTCTGGAACTAATTCATCATAAGGTTAGAGGAGACCCTGACAAATATTTTCTCCAAAGACATAGCTGTGTTAGTCTGGAATAACATTATGCAAAGGGACCTTTTAGCACCTTTTGAGGCTGAGACAAAGAAGTTGCAACATAACCTTTCATAGACTTAATGTATTTCTTCAGATACATGGAACCCATGCATCTTTAGAAGTAGAATAAGTCTACGGAGGTTTTCTATGGTGCCACACGATCCCTTTGAATTTTCTCCAAGTTTGTTCGCAATGTAAATCTTGGAGAAATATCACAGGATCTCTGTATTTCCTGAAATTTTAATTCAGTATTGTCGGTGAGAGTCTGCATTAGTAGGAGAGGAAGATGTAGGTTTTCTTTTCAGTTTGGCACATAAAATTCCAAAGACAGGAACATCTCCAGATCTGTCAGCTAGCTGGACACAAATGAGCAGTCATTTGGAAACTTACTGAAATCCAGGCTACTGAAATGTGAAAAGTATTTGTTTCAAAACTGAAGACAGTTAGCGACATTTGAGTGATATGTTTGGTCAGGACTTCTAATGTTAATTTTTAAACGTATTCAACAGCTTTGCAACCTGACCAAATGGATGTCTCTGAGACATTTTTTAATGAAGGCGCATATAGAGTGGGCCATTGGTACCCACTGGGGTTTGGTTACAGGATCCCCTGTGGAGACCAAAATCTGTGGATGCCCAAGTCCCATTATATATAATGGTGTAGAAAAATGGCATCTCACATATCTATCTGTCTATCTGTCTGTCTGTCTATCTATCTATCTATCTATCTATCTATCTATCTATCTATCTATCTATCTATTAATATATTCCATGGATGCTGAATCCTTTGGTACAGAGGGCCAATTGTAATCAGTGTGTCCATGCTGTTAGCATGCTTCTGATTGATTGCTAAGAGGAGAATAGATCACGATCCTGACTGTGTCATCTTTGATGGGCTTCCATCCCGTGTTGCCTTCACTCTGCAGTCCTTCCCGTGCTTTTCACCAAACCCTTGAAGGACCAAGAAGCGACCGAAGGGAAAAACGTCACTCTGCAGTGTGAGCTGAACAAAGCCTCTGTCACCGTGGAATGGAAGAAAGGCCACAAGACCCTGAAGCCAGGCTCCAAGTACAAAATGAGGCATGAAGGTGCCGTGGCCGAACTGGTCATCCAAGGCCTGGACGTCACCGATTCTGGGAGTTACAGCTGTGTTTGTGGAGGGGAGCAGACCACAGCATCTTTAGAAGTCAAGGGTAAAGCCCCTTCCAAGAAACCACTTTTGTTGTTCCATTGCTCGCTCTGTTGCTTTGGTCCGATCCCCATGGCTTTCCTATCCTTTGTACTCACGGTTTACAGACCTTTTCCACTGGATGCATTCCAGTTTTTCCAGGGGAGACATCAAATACAATCCTAATCATGAAGGTTCTTGTTCAGAATAGCGATGAAACTTAATTATTTCAGGAAGGTATCCTGTAATGGTGCATGAGTTTGCATGAACAATATCTTCAAGAGGGTTTTCATAGATTACTTCAGAAAGCTCTTTGATTGTAGGTGAACTATACATCCCAGTAACTACACTTGCCGCATTTGCTCCCTTGCCTGGCCCGCTTTGGGTCCGAAGGCGTGCCTGAAGACCCCGGCGTGTGCACCAAAAGTCACCTCTTCTCCTGACTTTCTCCTCAGCCATTGGGACCAAGAGAGAGAGAGAGAAGTGGAGATGCCAACCTTTCCTGAAGGTAGGTGCAAAAACAAAGGAGGGAGCGGAGGTGGGAGATACCTCCAACCGGAGGGGCTCTCTCTCTCTCTCTCTCTCTCTTGGTCCCAATGGCTGAAGAGAAAGTCAGGAGAAGAGGCGACTTTTGGTGCGCACGCTGGGGTCTTCAGACACGCCTCCGGACCCGAAGCGGGCCAGGCGCGGTGGCACCCGCAAATTGGGAGAGGAGAGGAGGTGGGTGGAGCGCCAGGGGATCGGGAAAGGGAGCCGGTCATGGGGAAGGGATCTAACGCGGAGAACGATTGAGCGCCGGCTCTGCTCGCACACCCGGTGGCCGGGTGGAGCAGGAACGAGAGGGGCTAGGCGAGGCTCAAGGGCCCGGCCCCTTTGGGAAGAGGATCGCCCGGCAGTGAGGCAAGAAAGCCGAGGCTCCCCCCGGACTGCTAGGGCTGTTGTGAGCTGAGGGGGCGCTCCTCAAGTGGCGGTCGAGGGGCATTTACAGAGGCGCCTCTGCGCCCCTGGCAAAAAAAAGTGTTCTGCGACCACTTACTTCGCGTAATGGACGAGCCGCCCCTGATTGGTTTCTATCAATCTTGGGCCAAGTACCTTTCTAAATTGCACAAATCCCTTTATTCATATCTATTTTACATCTCTTCCAAAGGAAAGAAAGCTCTAGAGAAGTTTAGACAACCAATGTTTCTCCCCAAGGGGTGATGCCTTTTGCTGCTCTGAGCGATGGAAATGCATTGGTTGCATGGACTCAGTTTCTTTTCTTCCCACCTGTTCCTTACTTATTTTCACACTCTGTCCTTATTGCCCTCCTCTCAGCCCTTCCTGTACTGTTCAAAGAAGGACTGAAGAACAGGGAAGTGGTAGAAGGCACCACGGCCACCTTGCGTTGTGAAATGACCAGAGCGGGAGCTGAAGTGGAGTGGAGGAAGGGGCCCCAGGCCCTCAAGCCCAGCGACAAATACCGAATGAGACAGGAAGGAGCGGCGGCAGAATTGCTGATTCGGGATCTGCAGGTGGAGGACACAGGAGAGTTTGCCTGCCTTTGTGGAGACCAAAAGACAACAGCCATCTTGACCGTTCATGGTAATGAAATGTTCTGCATTGCGTCGGAGATGTTTCGGAGTCTGCCTACTCTGTGGAAACTCCTGGTTTTGTGCTGTCTCCGTTCATTGTTCTGTTTCTTGTCTGGCTTTGTTGCCAATGTGGTGAAATACTGTGTATTGTGCTGTATTTATTTCTGATGTTACAATGTCTTCCTAAATGTTGTTGTTGTTGTTGTGTACCTTCAGTAATTTTTGACCTCCAGTGTTACAATGTCTTCTTAAATATGCTGTTGTTGTTCATGTTGTTGTGCGCCTTTAAGTAATTTCTGACCCCCAGTGTTCCAATGTCTTCCTAAATGTGTTGTTGTTGTTGTGAGGCTGTCATCTCCCAACCTCTGAGGATGCCTGCTATAGATGTAGGCACAACATCAGGACAGAATGCTTCTGGAACATGGCCATACAGCCTGGAAAACTCACAACAACCCAGTGATTCCAGCCATGAAAGCCTTCGACAATACATTGTTGTTGTTGTTGTTGTTGTTGTTGTTGTTGCTGTGTGCCTTCAAGTCGTTTTTGACCTCCAGTGTTACAATGTCTTCCTAAATGTGTTGCTGTTGTTGTTGTTGTTGTTGTTGTTGTTGTTGTTGTGAGGCTGTCACCTCACAACCTCTGAGGATGCCTGCTATAGAGCCAGGCAAAATGTCAGGAGAGAATGCTTCTGGAACATGGCCATGCGGCCCAGAAAACTCACAACAACCCAGTGATTCTGGCCCTGAAAGCCTTTGACAATACATTGAGCATCTCTACGGGAGAAACTGTTCCAAGACACACGAGACCTCACAACCTCTGGGGATGCTTGCCATAGATGCAGGTGAAACGTCAGGAGAGAATACTACTGGAACATGGCCATACAGCCCGGAAAACTCACAACAACCCAGTGATTCCGGCCATGAAAGCCTTCGACAATACATTGTTGTTGTTGTTGCTGTGTGCCTTCAAGTCGTTTTTGATCTCCAGTGTTACAATGTCTTCCTAAATATGTGTTGTTGTTATTGTTGTTGTTGTTGTGAGGCTGTCACCTCACAACCTCTGAGAATGGCTGCTATAGATGCAGGCAAAATGTCAGGAGAGAATGCTTCTGGAACATGGCCATACAGCCCAGAAAACTCACAACAACCCAGTGATTCCGGCCATGAAAGCCTTTGACAATACATTGTTGTTGTTGTTGTTGTGTGCCTTCAAGTCATTTCTGACCCCTGATGTTACAATGTCTTCCTAAATGTGGTGTTGCTGTTGTTTACTTGTTGTGGGCATTTAAAGTCATTCGATGAAATCTGCCCACTATATCTGGTGCAATTGTGTGCCATTGTCCTCATCGTACTATTTGCATTGAGAAGGATTTGTATGTGCTTGTAATCTGTTTGTGAGAGCTGCCCTGAAAAGAAACTGCAATTAATTAACAGCAGTGAATGGAATGATAATGGGCAATTTATTTGGATTTTGTCCAATGTGTTGCTAGGAAAAAGTAGGAAAAACCCAATATTTCCTTTTTAGAGGAGTATAATTTGATGTTTATGCTAAAATTTAAAATGTCAGTTTTTAAAAACTGGGTTGCTGTGAGTTTTTTGGGATGTATGACTATGTTCCAGTAGCCTTATTTCCTGACATTTTGCCTGCATCTGTGGCTAATGTCACCTTCAGAGGTTCTGCTGGCAGTGAAGCAAGTGGAGTGTATTTATACCTGTGGAATAATGTCCAGTGTGGGAGGAAGAACCCTTGTCTGTTTGAAGCAAGTGTGGATGTTGCCATTGGCAAGCTTGAATAGCATTGAGTAGCCATGATGCTGCAAAGTCAATCAGTGAAGGTATCTGCGTGGAGGTAGCCTGGTGCCTGTTGCCTGGGGGCACCCTCCGTTCTTACCATACATCAAGGGATGTGTCCCAGTGTGGAACACATCTCACCACACTAAAATAGTGGATGTGGCTCTTATCGAGACATGCCGCATTATCACGGGGTGTCTGTGCCCTACACCACTGGAGAAACTACACTGCTTAGCCGGTATTGCACCACCTGACATCCGCCGGGAAGTAGCAGCCAATAGTGAAAGGATCAAGGCAGAGACATTTGCAGCTCATCCCCTGTTTGGGTATCAGCCAGCACGTCAATGACTTAAATCTAGAAATAGTTTTCTAAGATCTACAGAGACACTCGCTGGAACACCTCAGCAAGCAAGAGTCCAAAAGTGGCAGGCTCAAACCCAGCACCTCAACCAATAGCTGATACCAAATGAGAAACTCCCCCCTGGGCACACAGAGGACTGGGCAACTTGGAAGGAGCTGAACAGATTGCGCTCTGGCACCACAAGATGCAGAGCCAATCTTCAGAAATGGGGCTACAGGGTGGAATCCACGACATGCGAGTGTGGGGAAGAGCAAACCACTGACCACCTGCTGCAATGCAACCTGAGCCCTGCCACATGCACAAGGGAGGGCCTTCTTGCAGCAACACCAGAAGCACTCCAAGTGGCCAGATACTGCTCAAAGGACATTTAATCAAGTACCAAACTCACAAATTTTGTATTTTGTCTGTTTGTTTTCTTTGTTCTGTTAGAACAAAGCAAACTGAATGCACAAGGAAACTGATGAAGATACACAACCTCCAAACAATCTACAGACCCACCAAGAAAATCCAACAAATACTACATTTAGTAAAGGACAAGAGGGATCCTCTAACCACTGCAGGAGTCTAGTGCATACCAGGCAGCTGTGGACAAGTCTACATAGGGATCCCCAAATGCAGCAGCATTGCCCAGACATTAATCAAGGAACATGGAAGGCACGGCAGACTCATTCAACCAGAGAAGTCATCTATAGCAGAGCACCTGATGAACCAATCTGGACACAAAATATTATTGGAGAACACAGAAATGCTGGACCACTCTCACAACCATCATGCCAGACCACACAGAGAAGTCACTGAAATCTACAAGCACATGGGCAATTTCATCAGAAAGGAGGAAACCATGAGAATGAACAAAATCTGGTTACTAGTATTAAAAAAAACACCAAAATCAAGAGAGAAAATAATGAACATGACTCAGAAACAGTGAAACTCCTGACAGCAAACAATCAAGGGCCAGTTAACACCTCCCAGACAAAGGATGCCTCCAGGTAACAGCATCCAGGTTACCTTTATGCAGATACTCTCACTGATTGACTTTGCAGCTTCATGGCCACTCAATGCTAACCAAGCTTGCTCATTGCAGTATTCACACTTGCTTCAAACAGACAAGGGCATTATTCCATTATTTCTCTCACGTGGGCATTATTCCAGATATATATCTTATCTATATAAATAAAAATGTAATTTTCATTTGTGGGATTAATATAACTCAAAAACCACACGATGAATTGATACCGAATTTGGACACAATACACCTATCAGGCCAACGAGTGCCTATCACTCATAAAAAACATTGAAAAACACAGCAGAAGAGACTTATAAAGCCAAAAATACAACAAAAACCCACATTACAAACCATGCACAAAACCACATATAGACATAAACACTCATACACAAATATATACACACACACATCCATATATACAGACACAATATACACATAAAGTGGGAAAGAAGGAAGTAAGGAAGGAGAAAAGGAGGGATAGAAAGAGGGAAAGAAGGAGGGAAGGAGAGAAGGAAAGGAAGGCAGTGAAGGAAGGAAGGAGAGAAGGAAATAAAAAAGTGAAAGAAGGATGGAAAGAAAGAGGGAAGGAAGGAGAGAAGGAACAAAAGAGAGAAAGAGGGAGGGAAGGAAGGAAAGAAAGAGAGAAGGAAGGATGGAACCAAAGAGCAAAGGAAGGGAGGAAAGAAACAGGTAGAGAAGGAAGAAAGAAAAAGGGAAAGAAGAAGGAAAAGAAAAAGAGGGAGGGAAGAAAGGAGAGAAAGAAAGGAAAGAAAGAAGGAGGGAAGGTTTGGCCACAATCATTCATAAAACACTGAAAAACACAGCAGAAGAGACTTAAAAAGCCAAAAAACAAAAAAAAAACCCCAAAAAACATTACAACACATGCGCATAACCACATAAATACACATATACAGAAATATATAAATACACACATATACACATATATACACACGCAAAACACAAATACACAGACTGGGCACAGCAACGCGTGGCAGGGGATGGCTAGTGTGTGTGTGTGTGTGTGTGTGTGTGTGTGTGTATATATATATATATACACACACACACACACACACACACACATACATACACACATACATACACACACACACACCCCACTTGCTCCACTACCAACAGAACCTAAGAAGGTGCCATTAGCCACAGATGCAGGTGAAACGTTAGAAGAGAATGCTGCTGGAACATGGCCATACAGCCCGAAAAATACACACCAACCTAGCGATTCTGACCATGAAAGTTTTTTGACAATACAATTTTTAAAAAGTTGTGGCCAAATGACATTTTCTCAAAATGGCATTACTCCCATGAAACAATTTTCAGTACTTTGTATTGCATTCTGTTGTTGACAATGCCATACTAAGTTGAGTCTAACTAGCAAAATATGACTCTCTGGAAGGCCCCACTGATTAGAATGGGGCTCCTTTGAACTTGGTGGAAGAGCCTGTTGTTCGTGGGACGTATTGGACCATGACATGCTCTTTGTCCATGTTGCACCTTCAGCCGTACCCGCACATTTCCAAGAAGAGCTCAAAAGCAAAGACGTGACCGAAGGGGAGGCGGTCATTCTCCACTGCGAACTCAACAAGGCTGCCCCGGTGGAGTGGAGGAAGGCCGGGCAGCCGCTCAAGGCAGACGACAAACACAAAATCAAGCAGAAGGATCGTGTGGCTGAGCTGGCGATCCACAATGTCACCGAGCAGGATGGCGGAGACTATTCCTGCATTTGTGGTGATCAGAAGACATCTGCGTCTCTAACGGTGCATGGTAAATATTATATATCTAGAAAAGTGTCATATTGCTGGTGTTCTGTGGCATTTCTTTATATCTAGATTCCAATACAACTTTGTATACATTCTAGATGAGGTTCTGTTCATAGTGTTAAGTCTCCTTTTTCTATTTCCCAAATCCTTTCTACAGTCATTCCAGAATCCCATTCCATGCCATCTTCTTTCATACTGTCATTGCTGTAAATAGTTATACAATATGACCTACTAGTTCATGGATTCTATCTCCTTGTGATTATGGAAACTCAGACTCCAAAAACTATTTGTTCCAAGATTTATATGTTTATCTAGGTCCTCCAGTACAACTCTGTGGTGTGCTTCATACTCGAGTCTAGTAAAAAATATAGGGTTTGCTATTATCCACATTTTCTAGGTACAGTATAGCCTCGCTTATGCAACACTAGCCATCCCCTGCCAGGCGTTGCTGTGGCCCAGTCTGTTGATCTGGAAAATAAAGTAATGAGAAAGTGTTGGTTTCTAATATATGTAATTTCTTTGTGCTTGTGGGTAAACAGTATTTCTTGCTGTTTCTTTGTCAGTGTTGATGTGGAGATTGTCTGGTTTGCCCACTCTGGAACATGCAACATATAATTGTCCTTCTTTTGATACTATATCTCTCTGTGTGTGACTCATATATATATCTATCTATATCTATGGTTGGATGGCTTTTTGTCAGGAGGGCTTTGATTACATTTTATTGCCCTGTTGAAGGGAGTTGGACTGGGTGGCCTTAAGTATGGGGGTTCTGTGTGGGACGTTTGCCCCAATTCTGTCATTGGTGGGGTTCAGTATGCTTTTTGATTGTGGGTGAACTATAAATCCCAGTAACTACAACTACCAAATATCAAGGTCTATTTTCCCCAAACTCCATTTGTGTTCATATTTGGGCATATTGAGTATTCGTGCCAAGTTTGGTCCAGATCCATCATTGTTTGAGTCCACAGTGCTCTCTGGATGTAGGTGAACTACAACTCCCAAACTCAAGGTCAATGCCCCCCAAAACCTTCTAGTGCAGTGTTTCTCAACCTGGGGGTCGGGACCCCTAGGGGGGTTGCGAGGGGTTGCCAGAGGGTTCACCAAAGACCATTAGAAAACACAGTATTTTCTGCTGGTCATGGGGGTTCTGTGTGGGAAATTTGGTCCAATTCTATCATTGGTGGGGTTCAGAATGCTCTTTGATTGTAGGTGAACTATAAATCCCAGCAACTACAGCTCTCAAATGTCAAGGTCCATTTCCCCTAAATTCCACCAGTGTGAACATTTGGGCATATTGAGTATTTGTGCCATGTTTGGTCCAGAGCTATCATTGTTGAAGTCCATAGTGCTCTCTAGATGTAGGTGAACTATAACTCCAAAACTCAATGACAATGCCCATCAAACCCTTCCAGTATTTTTTCTTGGTCATGGGAATTCTGTGTGCCAAGTTTGGTTCAATTCCATTGTTGGTGAAGTTCAGAATGGTATTTGATTGTAGGTGAATTATCAATCCTTGCAACTACAACTCTCAAATGACAAAATCAACCCCCCCCAACCCCACTAGTATTCAAATTTGGGTGTATTGGGCATTTGTGCCAAATTTCGCCCAGTGAATGAAAGTACATCCTGCATATCAGATATTTACATTATGATTCATAAGGGTAGTAACATTACAGTTATGAAGTAGCAACGAAAATAATGTTATGATTGGGGGTCACCACAACATGAGGCACTGTATTAAGGGGTCACGGCATTAGGAAGGTTGAGAATCACTGTTCTAGTGTTTTCTGTTGGTCATGGGAGTCCTGTGTGACAAATTGGTTCAATTCCATCATTGGTGAAGTTCAGAATTCTCTTTGATTGTAGGTGAACTATTAATCCCAGCAACTACAACTCCCAAATGACAAAATCAATTCTTTGAGTGATGGTCACTCCTTGGGTTAGTAGGTGTCTTGTGGCCAAATTTGGTGGCCTTTCATCCTGTGGTTTTTGAGTTATGTTAATCCCACAAACGAACATTACATTTTTATTTATATAGATCGATACAACAGAATGTCAGCTAAATGAAAATGTTGGATAATATGGATTCTCCTACTGTTACCCGTCCAACGTTGCGCTAGACACTTAGAATACTAACAATAGGGACTCAAAGAGTTAAGGCAAGGCAATGCTTCAGGGATAGACCGGTCCAGCAGGAAGTGCCTGGATGTGGAAGAGGAACGTGGAAATCACAGAGGGAAGGAGGGAGGATGCTTCCGCTTCCGGTCCTGCCTCTTTTCCCCCTTTCCTCCCTTCTCCTCCTCCTTGCCTTGCCTTTTTTACTTACTGGGAATGGAGATGAGAGTTCTCCTTTAATTGAAGGAGAAGTGTTGGAGGAAAAACGGGCATTGATAAGTGCGTCGGATAAGACAGAATGTCAGATAAGTGAAGGTCGGATAAGCAAGACTCTACTGTATCCACATGGGGTTTTGGAATGTATCCACTGTGGATATGGGGGTTCATACTGTACTTTGATGGATATGCAATATTTGAAAGCAACCAAGTCACTGCTGAGTTCCTATGCCCTGAACAAACAATGATTTCAAGGCACAAAAGGATCTATTTTTGGTTGACATGTGTGCTGTGTGAGTATCAGAAAATACTCTAATTGTAGTGTTTTCCCATAGCTGCACATGAATGCATATGCGATACAAATATTTTGTTGGCAGTGTTACAGGAGGGTACTGGTAAAGTTTGAAAGCTCTGCTCAGAACAGTAGATGGTATAAAGTTTTTCATGGTATAAACTGCATATTTATGTATGTGTGTGAATCTGGAGGGAAGATTTGGAATTAGCACCTTTGATTTTAATACTATCATTAATTTGAAACTTGGACAAGGTTCATGGCTTCATTAGGAACACGTAATCCCACACATTTTTGTACTGTAAAATTTAGAGTGGGCAAGCTAGTTATGGGTGGTCTATAACAGGGGGACCCCGGGGGGGTCGTGAGGGGGTGTCAGAGGGGTCACTAAAGACCATCAGAAAACACAGTATTTTCTGTTGGTCATGGGAGTTCTGTGTGGGAAGCTTGGCCCAGTTCTCTCGGTGGGGTTCAGAATCCTCTTTGATTGTAGGTGAACTATAAATCCCAGCAACTACAACTCCCAAATGTTAAGGTGTATTTCCCCCAAACTCCATCAGTGTTCATGTTTGGGCATATTGAGTATTTGTGCCAAGTTTGGTCCAGATCCATCATTGTTTGAGTCCACAGTGCTCTCTGGATGGAGGTGAACTACAACTCCCAAACTCAAGGTCAATGCCCAACAAAGCCTTCCTGTATTTTCTGTTGGTCATGGAGGTTCTGTGTGGGAAAATTGGGCCAGTTCTCTCAGTAGGGTTCAGAATGCTCTTTGATTGCAGGTGAACTATAAATCCCAGCAACTACAACTCCCAAATGTCAATGTCTATTTCCCCCAAACTCCACCAGTGTTCACATTTGGGCATATTGAGTATCTCTGCCAAGTTTGGTCCAGATCCATCATTGTTTGAGTCCACAGTGCTCTCTGGATGTAGGTGAACTACAACTCCCAAACTCAAGGTCAATGCCCACCAAACCCTTCCAGTATTTTCTGTTGGTCATGGGAGTTCTGTGTGCCAAGTTTGTTCAATTCCATCATTAGTGGATTCCAGAATGCTCTTTGATTCCCAAATGACAAAATCAATGTCCCTCAACCCCACCAGTGTTCAAATTTGGGCGTATTGGGTATTTGTGCCAAATTGGTCCAGTGAATGAAAATACATCCTGCATATCAGATATTTACATTACATTTCATAACAGCAGCAAAATTACAGTTATGAAGTAGCAACGAAAATAATGTTATGGTTGGGAGTCACCACAACATGAGGAACTGTATTAAGAAGCTAAAGTAGAAAACATCTCGAGACTAAACCTTGGGAAACACTGGTCTTGAGATGAATCTGGAGGCCAGTTGTAGGTTTTCCTTTATCCACCAGCTTATGTGCTGCTTGTAAATCCCAAGGAATGTATTGGAATCTTCCAGCCATGATGACCTTGCCTTGTTTAACACGATCTTTGCGATCTCCAGCTCTGCCTCCACGATTCAAAACAGAGTTGAGGAACCTGGAAGCTGCAGAAGGTGGAACGGCGACTTTGCATTGTGAACTGACCAAAGTGGCCGCTCCTGTGGAGTGGAAGAAGGGCAGCGAGGCGCTCAGGCCAAGTGCCAAATATGAAATGAAGCTGGAAGGTGTTGTTGCTGAGCTTGTCGTTCACAACCTGGAACTGGCTGATGGCGGAGAGTACAGTTGCATGTTTGGTGACCAGAAGACTTCCGCTTCCTTGAAAGTCAATGGTATATTGAAGGTTCTACTTCTTATGATCAGATACAACCCATGTAGATTTGAAGAACATCCTTGATTGTTCTCCTGGACAGTCAAGGAATCCAAATAGATTTGCTTATTTTGTAAACAGAATGATAGCTCATATATTTTAGAACTTAAGAAAGCAACCAGACGTTTAGAAGTCAGAATCCTTATTTAAAAGATGGCAAGAACATTATGTGTGGGATAGCATGGTTCCATTATAAATAAATGCATTAATTCTGTTGACATGTTAGTCCTTTACTATGATTCTCAAGAGACTCGAGGAGGAACATTTTAAGCTTCTTAGGCCCCTTCCACACTGACCTATATCCCAGAATCTGAACCTACCTCTGAGGATGCTTGCCATAGATGCAGGCGAAACGTCAGGAGAGAATGCCTCTAAACTATGGCCATATAGCCCAAAAAAACCTACAACAACTCAGTGATTCCGGCCATGAAAGCCTTCGAAAATACATTAAACCTAGATTATTTGCTTATCCCAGATTATCTGGCAGTGGAGACTCATATAATCCATTTTAAAGCAGATAATCTGGATCAGATCCTGGGATATACAGCAGTGTAGAAGGGGCCTTAGACTCCCCTATTACATGTGAAGCATTTCCATAAAAAAAATTTTAGCAGTGTGGAAGGTAAATGGAGGATATAGTAAGAACAAAAGACTGAAGCTGGGCCTAATCCAGTTATTCTGTTCACAAGATGACCAACTAGTTGTCCATGGAAACCTTTGGGCACCTTATGAGTACAATTCCTTGGTGTTCAAGCTTTCCAGGAAGCATATACAGAGAAATGCTCTGATATTGGAGGTTCTAACCATGGCTGGTCACCACTCTTGACCTCCTTCTCCATGAAGCTGCTCAATCCTTTAAATTGGCAGCTCTCTCTATTTCTCATGGAAGGGAACTGTGAAATTCCTGGAACACAGCATGACAAACCATGTGGTCCATATTCCTTGAATATCTGTGCACATCGTTGGTTTTGCATTGACATGGTCTGTTCATTCTAAACTTCTCAGCCCTCCCTGCCCAGTTCAAGAAAGGCCTGGAGAACCAAGAAGCCCTGGAAGATGGGACGGCCACCTTCCAGTGTGAACTCACAAAACCATCTCCTGTGGAATGGAGGAAGAAGCATAAGTTGCTCAAACCGAGTGACAAATACAAGATGAGGCAGGACGGCGTCCTCTCAGAGCTTGTGATCTCCAACCTGGAAGTGAAAGATGCCGGAGACTATTGCTGTGTTTGTGGGGATCAGAAGACATCTGCTGCTCTGACCGTGCATGGTAAATTACTGCATCTCTCCATAAATTTGTGGAGAAGCCTACACGTTCCTTTCTACTTGTCTCATCTGTTGATGTCAGATTCTCCTTTGTAATGTGACGTTTTTGTGGTCTCTGTCAAATCACTGGAAATCCCCTTGGTCTATTTAGTGTGGCCCCACAAGTTCTAGAACTGTAATTTCCGGTCTCCCATCTAGGGAAATCTTCTCTGCGACATATTATTAAAGTATCTACTATTCTTGAAGGACAGCTTTCTCCACTGTGCCACCACCATCTTCACTTCTCAAGGACAATGTTCCATTTTTCATTAATCATACATAGGGGTCGTTTCAAAAATGATAGTGTGGCTTTGAAATTCTGACCAGTTCTCAAGAAGTACTCCAATTCCACCAGTATTCAAATTTCGGCGTATTGGGTGTTTGTGCCAAATTTGGTCCACATCATGAGAAGAAAGGAAAGCTTAGAGAAGACAATGATGCTGGGGAAAATGGAAGGAAAAAGGAAGAGGGGGCAACCAAGGGCAAGATGGATGGATGGGATCCTTGAAGTGACTGGATTGACCTTGAAGGAGCTGAGGGAGGTGATGGCTGACAGGGAGCTCTGGCGTGGGTTGGTCCATGAGGTCACAAAGAGTCGGAAACGACTGAACAAATGAACAACAACAACAACTTTAGGAGGATGGTGTGAAAGTATATACATGGTCTTCCACTGAGGGTTTTAGATGATGTTATCCTCAAGTAACATATTAAAGGCAATCATGTATTTAAGGCAATCCTGTAACAAATGATTAACCAGTCTTTGGATGCCTTAATGTTGTTGTTGTTCATTTGTTCAGTCGTCTCCGACTCTTCGTGACCTCATGGACCAGCCCACGCCAGAGCTCCCTGTCAGCCGCCACCACCCCCAGCTCCTTCAAGGTCAGTCCAGTCACTTCAAGGATGCCATCCATCCATCTTGCCCTTGGTCGGCCCCTCTTCCTTTTACCTTCCACTTTCCCCAGCATAATTGTCTTCTCCAGGCTTTGCTGTCTCCTCATGATGTGGCCAAAGTACTTCAACTTTGTCTCTAGTATTCCTTCCCTCCAGTGAGCAGTCGGGCTTTATTTCCTGGAGGATGGACTGGTTGGATCTTCTCGCAGTCCAAGGCACTCTCAGAACTTTCCTCCAACACCACAACTCAAAAGCATCTATCTTCCTTTGCTCAGCCTTCCCTAAGGTCCAGCTCTCACATCCGTAGGTTACTACAGGGAATACCATGGCTTTGACTAGGCGGATCTTTGTTGCCAGTCTGATGTCTCTACTCTTTACTATTTTATCGAGACTGGACATTGCTCTCCTCCCAAGAAGTAAGCGTCTTCTGATTTCCTGGCCACAGTCTGCATCTGCAGTAATCTTTGCACCTAGAAATACAAAGTCGGTCACGGCCTCCACATTTTCTCCCTTTTTAACTTGTATGCAGAACACATCATGCGATGTGCGGGGTTTGATGAATGCAAAGCTGGGGTGAAAATTGCTGGAAGAAACATTAACAACCTCAGATATGCAGATGACACCACTCTGATGGCCGAAAGCGAGGAGGAGCTGAGGAGCCTTCTAATCAAGGTGAAAGAAGAAAGCGCAAAAGCTGGGTTGCAACTAAACATCAAAAAAACCAAGATTATGGCAACAAGAATGATTGACAACTGGAAAATAGAGGGATGCCTTAACAGGCATCCAAAATTTATTATTTATTTATTTATTTCAAATATTTGTATACCGCCCTTCTCAACCCCTGGAGGGGGACTCAGCCGGCAGCAATTCGATGCCCCCACATACAAAACATAGTAAACATAACAATTACATAATGAGTAAAAACATAATGAGTAAAACATTAGATTAAATTACATTAAAATCCATTTAAAATACTATTAACTGTTGGCCATATCCAAATCCGAATTCTGTGACCAACGACTCAGTCCAAGCCTGTCCATAGTCCGTTCTCCATAGCATTGTCATTATTGTTAGCCTGCTACCCCAAAGGCCTGGTCCCACATGTTTTCAACTTCTTCCTGAAAGACAGGAGGATGCAATTGACCTAATTTCGCTGAGGAGTGAGTTCCACAGGCGAGAGGTCACCGCCAAGAAGGCCCTGTCCCTTATCCCTGCCAAGCGCATTTGCAACGGAGGTGGGATTGAGAGCAGGGCCTCCCCAGATGATCTTAAGCTCCAAGGTGGGACGTAGAGGGAGATACATTCGGACAAGCAAGCTGGGCCGGAACTGTATACTTATTTACTTACTTAGGCAATCCCTCGTTGGCCGAGTAGGATAGTCTCCCAGGATCAGTATTCTGGTAGGTCTGTAGGTGACTGTGGAGCCCTATTCGGAACGTATAGGGTGGATTCCTTTGACGGAATCCAAATGCTGCAATTCTTTGTTGGTCCAAATGAATTCCTTGATCTAGAATTGTAGCAGAATTTGATCCAGGCCTGCATCCAAATCTTTTGTAGCATGGGCCACTAAGCGCCCAAATCCTGGACAATGCTATCTGTGAATTTTGCATTTTCTATAACCTTTTTCAAAATCCTTGCAAGACATCTGGATTCTGGTGGCAAAACGTATTCCATGACAGACAAATTGTGGTAGAAGAGATCCCATGAAGTCTGGAAACTACAGTTCTAGAGCATCCTTCAATGATATCCCGGATTTAAGAATCCCTTGTGTTCATATTGAGTGTTTATGTGTATTTGTTATTTGTTCGGACAATTGCCAACTGTATGGCTACTGTACTTGTGTTGAATCCATGTCTTGTGTCTTGCTATCGTACAGCCAAAAAGGACCCTTGTTTGGTGTAGAGCAGACAGTGGGAATGGTGATTCACTCGAGGCTCAGTGAGAGAATGCAAGGATGTAAAGAATATTTGCTCCTTCCTTTGTTCCTTAGCCGTACCTGCATTTTTCAAAGAAGAATTAAAAAGTACTGAAGCCACAGAAGGGGAGATGGCTACCATGCGTTGCAAACTCAGCAAAGAAGCCACAGTGCAATGGAAGAAGGGGGACCAGTCTCTGAAACCTAATGAAAAATACACAATGAGACAGAAGGACACCACGGTGGAACTAGTGATCCAGGACCTAGAAGAAGGGGACGCTGGGGATTATGCCTGCGTTTGTGGCAATGAACAAACTACCGCTGCTTTAGCCGTACATGGTAATATTGAGCACCTGAACAGAATTCTACTATTGCCCACCATCCCTTTTCCCATGTGTGTATGTGTGTTTTTAGGGCAGTGCCCTTGTTGTTTACGTGCTTTGAAGATTTTTAAATTCATTGGGCCTTTACGTTACACAATGGCATGCTTTGCCTCTAAATATTATTTCCTCTCTCAGTCTCAGAGGATGGCAATGGCAAAGCTCTCCTCCACAAATTTTGCCAAGACAAACCTGTGAGAAGAGCACTATAAGTCCAAATGACATGAAGGCACACAACAACACCAGCAATGCCCATACCCAACATCTGGTGAACATCATAATACTAATGCTGCTTGGTTTTTTAGCAAGTCATAGAATCATAGAATCAAAGAGTTGGAAGAGACCTCATGGGCCATCCAGTCCAACCCCATCAAGAAGCAGGAATATTGCATTCAAATCACTCCTGACAGATGGCCATCCAGCCTCTGTTTAAAAGCCTCCAAAGAAGGAGCCTCCACCACACTCCGGGGCAGAGAGTTCCACTGCTGAACGGCTCTCACAGTCAGGAAGTTCTTCCTCATGTTCAGATGGAATCTCCTCTCTTGTAGTTTGAACCCATTGTTCCGCGTCCTAGTCTCCAGGGAAGCAGAAAACAAGCCTGCTCCCTACTCCCTATGACTTCCCTTCATATATTTATACATGGCTATCATATCTCCTCTCAGCCTTCTCTTCTTCAGGCTAAACATGCCCAGCTCCTTAAGCCACTCCTCATAGGGCTTGTTCTCCAGACCCTTGATCAGTTTAGTCACTGTCCTCTGGACAGCTTGTCAATATCTCTCTTAAACACTTCTCCCAGGTGCAACCAAAACACATTTTAGGTCAGGAGATCTTTTTAAAGGACATCTGGCTAAACACCTAATCAATGATCCGACCTTGTTGAGTGACCTCAGAATGGCCTCTCAGCTGCTAGACAAAGGTCATTTCTGTTGTGTATTTGTGCTTTAACCGTCTCCATATGTTGCGTTCCTCAGTTCTACCGGCCAGTTTTGAAGAACATCTAAAGAGTGAGGAAGTGATGGAAAGTGGAGTTGCCATTCTGAGCTGCAAATTGACCAAGGCCGCTCCAGTGGAGTGGATGAAGGGGCAGCATTTGCTCAGCAAAAGCGATAAATACCAAATGAGGCAGGAGGGCTGCTTTGTGAAGCTGGTGATCCAAGATGTGGAATTGGAAGATGCTGCAGAATACACTTGCCTCTGTGGAGATGAGAAGACAGCATCTTTCTTGACTGTTCATGGTAAAGGAACATGGTTGCTTACTATTTCGCCCACTATCCATTTTCTGTAGTTGCACATATTTCCTATTTATTGATGTTTGTCATTTGGAGTTATTTGTTTGTGTGTATGTGTGTGATATTGCTCCTGCTGGGCAGAAGCCATCCATAGACCTGTCACACAAGCGATACTGAAACTAATCACATCTTCCTAAGACAGTTCAATGTTTTCCCACAAGACAGCATTCTCTACCTTGTGGAAATTCCCATCCCTTCTGGTCCTTGTGATACAAATTACAAGGACAGGAAGCTAGGCACACTGTAAGACATGTTCAACTTTCTGCCTTTCCCAATGTTTTGCATTTTATTTTATT